CCTGCAGGCGGTGCCTCTTCGTCGTGCGCTTCTTCATGGCCAAGGACAGCACCTACCAGACACTGTGAGTACCTAGAACGCAGTCAGTAGTATGATCAGGATCAACTCCCCCACCCCGCTCCTGTCCCTGTAAGTGACAGTGTGCCGTCTTCCCTAAGGGCAATGACTCCCTCCCAGGGTCCCCCATGTGAGTCACACCCCTCACCTCCCTCCCGCTGTGGGGTTCTCTCTGCCAGGTATTGACTCAGCCTGGGCCTGGTTCTGAGAGCCCAGCTGAGCCCACTTGTCTTGCTCCCTCATGCTGCCAGCAGGGAGGAGAACCAGTAGGTGACAGCCCAGGCGCCACTCGGGCCTGCAGCTCTGCGGCCTTGGCAGGACCTTGGCTGTGTGTGCGGTTTGGTTTTCCTCTGCGCAGGGGAGCTGCTCAGAGGCCCCTGTGTGCCGTGTGTGCTGTGGGGCGGGTCACTGCAGCCTCCATCAAAGTGTTTGCTCTCCCAGCTGCTGCCTGCTCTCGGGGGTGGGGTGGGGGGGGCCTCAGCCCGGCTGAGGCAGGGCCCCCGCCGAGTGCCCTCTCTGTCTGGCCTCTGCAGAATCTGACCCCCTTCAGGCCTGGATGCCACACTGAGGGGAAGGAGGACGAAGAGGCGGCCCTCTGGGGGGCACTGGGGGGCACTGGGGATGGGAAGAACTTTGGCCACCAATTTCTGGCCCCGGAAGGCACCGAGCAGTCTCAGTGTCAATACCTGGGCCTGGTACCTGCAGCTGAGAGCATCCGTCAGCCGCCTCCTGCCTCATCTGTCAGCCCTGTGGGCCCCTCCGGTCCCTGCTTGGCACTGGGCCTGTGCCCGCCTCTTCCCACCGACCTGGCCTGGGCACTGCCCCGAATAAAGGAACTCGTTCCAGCTGTGCTTTGTGTCCGTGTCTTGCCCTGTGTGTGGGTTGGATGGGGGAATGCCACTATCCCTTCCTTAGTGGGAATTCAGCCTCAGACAGTTGCTGTCACTTTGAAAATATTTCCATCTGTCATACGTGTTAACCCCTCCCTGCCCCTTTACAGATAAGAGTACAGCGACTCAGAGAGGTAAGTGTACCTGCTCCAGGTCACACGTGGGACGGGGCAGGGCTGGGCTGGAATCCAGGTTTTTCTAGCTCCCGGTGAGCAGAACTTCAGAACTCCCTGCAGAGCATCTTCCAGGCTCTCAGCCAAGGTGGAGGCACCCTGTAACTCTCAACAGCCACTTCCTCACTCAGGCCCTGCTGGGAGGCCCCCCCATGCCCTCCTCCCCCACTTCACTCCCCCCGCCCCAATCCCTGGGCCCAGAAGTCTTCCCTGACTAATAGCATCTCCCAGTGGGGGCGCATGCTGGAAGCCAGGACTGTCCTAGGAAGCGGGGAGTTCAGCCTGTGGAACCTGACTGCTCTGTGTGAACGGGAGCACGTTATTTAATAGCTCTGGGCCGCAGTTTCCTCATCTGTCCAGAGGGATAACAACAGTATCCATCTCAGTGGGACTGGGGAAGGTTCAGAGCAGGCACAGGTCCCCATCTGCTTCATGCCAGCGCACCTACCCACCCTGCCAGCTGCGCAGCCTGCAGCCAAGCCTTCTGCACCTCTTCTCCAGGGTCTCCGCTGCCGCGGGACGTCCACGGGGAGTTCTGGTTGCTCCCTGGCCTCACAGAGGGTTCACGTGCCCACACACCACACCATCAACACAAAGCAGTCCACGCACACTTCCACCCGCGCCCCCACCCTCTCAGACAGCCTCCCCTTGAACCTCCAGCCACTTGGATCTCTACCTCTTGTTCCACGGCCTGTCTTTCTACTCCAAGCCTTTGCACATGCAGTTTCTCCTGCCTGAATCACCCTCCCGGCTTCTCCCTTCTCCAACCAGCACTTAAGAACTGGCAGGGCCCTAACCGGTTTGGCTCAGTGGATAGAGCGTCGGCCTGCGGACTGAAAGGTCCCGGGTTCGATTCCGGTCAAGGGCATGTACCTTGGTTGCAGGCACATCCCCAGTAGGAGGTGTGCAGGAAGCAGCTGATCGATGTTTCTAACTCTCTATCCCTTTCCCCTCCTCTTTGTAAAAAATCAATAAAATGTATTTAAAAAAAAAAAAAAGAGCTGGCAGGGACAATGCCCATTCTCTCTGGGAGGGAGGAAATGCCCCGCCTCCTGCTGGCTCTCCGCGCAGTTAAGAAAATTCACTCATTGAATGTTTTCTTTTTCTAAAGTAGTAAATGCCAGTAAGGAACAAAAGGACGATACAGAAGTTTATATAAAGAGTGAGAATTGCCCTGGCCAGTGTTGCTTAGTGGTTAGAGTGTCGGCCCACGTAACAAAGGGTCGTGGGTTTGATTCCCGGTCAAGGGCAGGTACCGGGGTTGCAGGCTGGATCCTTGGCTGGTCTGGGCGAGTGCAGGAGGCAACCAATTGATGTCTCCCTCACATTGATGTCTCCCTCTCTTTCTCTCTCTCTCTCTCTCTCTCTCTCTCTCTCTCTCCCCACCCCCTATCCTTTCCCACTCTCTCTAAAATCAATGGAAGCCCGGCTGGTTTAGCTCAGTGGTAAGAGCATAGGCCGTGCACCGAACGGTCTCAGGTTCCATTCCCTGTCAAGGGCACGTACCTGGGTTGCAGATTTGAGCTCTGAACCTCCCCCCAACAGTGGCATGTGTGGGAGGCAACCAATGGATGTGTCTCTCTCAGATCGATGTTTCTCTCCCTCTTTCTCTCCTCCTCCCTCCCTTGTACTCTCTCTAAAAATCAATGAGAAAAAATATCCTCAGGTGAGGATTAACAACAACAACAACAAAACAAGCGAGCCTTGCCCTAACTGGTTTGGCTCAGTGGATAGCGTTGGCCTGCGGACTCAAGGGTCCCAGGTTCAATTCTGGTCAAGGGCATGTACCTTGTTGCGGGCACATCCCCAGTAGGAGGTGTGCAGGAGGCAGCCGATCAATGTTTCTCTCTCATCGATGTTTCTAACTCTCTATCCTTCTCCCTTCCTCTCTGTAAAAAATCAATAAAATATATTTAAAAAAAAAAAAAGAGTGAGCCTTAGCCGGTTTGGCTCAGAGGATAGAGCGCTGGCCTAAGGGTCCCAGGTTTGATTCCGGTCAAGGGCATGTACCCTGGTTGCAGGCTCCTCACTCACCTGGGCCCTGGTCAGGGCTCATGCAGGAGGCAACCAATCCATGTGTTTCTCTCACATCAATGTTTCTCTCTGTCTTTCCCTCTCTCTTCCACTCTCTAAAAATCAATGGAAAAACATCCTTGGGTGAGGATTAAAAATAAAAAAAGAATTGCTGTCCCACTGGTCTCACTCCCCAGAAGTAACCATGGTTCACATACGCTTCAGACCTTTTCCTGTGAATTCACAACATTTAGCTTCTTTAATACACAGTGGGACTGTGCTATCCTAGTACATATTGTTCTGCAACTTTGCCCCATTCATTATCCATCAGATTTGCCTTATGACTTGTCCACATGGTGATAACTTATTGGCCTGCATCCTATCAGTGTCAGTGGGTCATTTCCACGTTGGATATCACTAGCATAAACAGCATCGTGATAAACAGGCTCGTCACAGATCTTGGCACACCGGTGGGAGCGTTTGGGGAGCACAGATTTCCAGAACTGGAACTTAGGGTTCCTCAGAGCATCCACGTCACAGACCCACCCTGCCTGGAAATTCGGCCTCCCCTTTCCTGAAGCCCCATTGTACTTCAGCCCGCCCCACCCCCACAAGCTCTGGGTCTAGCATAGAGGAAGCCCTCAGGGAGGGTTTGATGAATGAATGAATGATGAATGAGTGAATGAATGAATGAGATTCCCCTCACATCCCCTACCACTTGTGGTCCCTCTCCAGCTCAGACCTCACTCCTCACATCTGGATCATGGCTGTTGCCTCCTTGCTGCCTGGGCCGCCCATGCAATTGGCCTATATTAGCAGCTGTTTCCTAGGCCCAGCCAGGGGCTCCCCAAGGGACTGGAGGGTGGGCATGAAGTCACGTTGCTAAGGGTCCCTCTCTCTGGTGGAGGGCATGGGGCTTGGGCAAAATCGCTGGGGCTCTGGGCATATAAGTGCCAGAGAGACCACAAGTCCTGTCCTGTCCCCGGGCCTCAGTTTCTCCTGGCTTATTCCTTCATGTAACCAATATTTGTTGAACACCTGCCTTGTACCAGGCCTAAAACCCAGGGCCAGTAATAATGACTATGACTGTGTGAGGATCGGAGGCGACATACAAACTGTGCCCAGGGGGACAGGGAGTGCAGCAGCTGCCCATAAGTGGTAGCAGGGCCACTAGCACTGCTGACAGGATCGGGAACGATTCCTAGTGAAGGTGACCTTAGGGCTGGAACTTCACGCACAGGCGGGCTTCACAATGGAGGCGAAGAGAAGGGCATTCCAGATGGAAGGCTCAGAACGGGCTGAGGTTCAAAGGCAGAGAGTCCCTTGTGAATGCAAAGGTCTGGAGAGATGGCCCGGGAGCCCTGGCGGCCAGGATCAGAAGTTGGACTCTACCCCAGGTGAACGGGGCAGGGATAAGGCTCATTCTCTTTGGGGCCCAGGGAGGAAATGCCCCACCTCCTGTCGGTTCCAACCTGGGTGGAGTGTCCGTGGGGAAAGACAATGGACGGAAGTCTTCCTCCGTGTTCTGCCACCAGCCTGGCCCCCTTATAAACTGGCGTCCTCTCTCGAGGGCACACCAGTGGGAGAGCAAGATGGGCCTCCTGCGGACTCCACTGTCCCTTTTGCTCCTCCTGCTCAGGGATCATGCCTGCTTGAGGACTGAGGACCGCGGCCGCTGTCCACGTAGGGTCCTAGGCTTCGC